TTACTGTTGGTGAGGCCCCACCCAAATCCATCACCCCCACATCCTTCTCCCATTCCACCAGACACCCCCTCTTCAGCCTGTGAAACTCCCTTAAAGCCCGGTTCAGTACCGCCATACACTCAATCACAATGAAATCCCGCCGCCGTTCCTCATACGTCTGGTTCCCGGGCAGCGCGGAAATTTCGGGCGGGTCAGGGAAATGCTGCCCGCAGGTGTTGACCATATCTTGGCGATAGTAGGCCGATTTGTCCCACTGCCAGTCTAGTACCTTGAGCTCTAAGCCGTAATGGATCATTCGAGGATCGACCCCTTTAGGAGGGTCATAGCCTGGGTAAAGCATAGCACTGTCTATCATGATGTGCTTTAGACCCACCTGGGAAAGGGAAAGGGGGCGGGGAGACATAGTGGAGTGGATTGGTGAGTTCATACCACTCATAGGGATGATAATAGAGACGTTAGAGATGATCCGAAGGAGTAGTCGCACATCTCGGTCACACTGCCTCTGCCCGTAAATCTCCCTCGTGGCAATGGCTGCACACCAATCCACCTCCGAACTGGTTCAGCCAAAGAGCTCTACACGCAGAGGCACTCGCATCAAAGGCTGGCACTCACATTGGAGGAGCCGAAGGAGTAGCCATACATCTCGCTGATCCACCGCTGCCCGTGAATGTCCCCCGTGGCATCCGCTACACACCATCCCACCTCTTGACCGATCCAGCCAAACAGCTCTACACACAGAGGCACTCACATCAGAGGAGCCGAAGGAGTAGCCATACATCTCGCTGATCCACCTCTGCCCATGAACGTCCCCCGTGGCATTGATGGTGTAGTTCAGACCACACACCGAGATGCACCTAGAGATGCTCACAGAGACGCCCATAGGGATGCCAAGACTCACATCAGATGATCCGAAGGAGTAGCCGTACATCTCGCTGATCCACCGCTGACCGTGAACGTCCCCCGTGGCGTTGATGGTGTAGTGCTCCACGTCTGCCCGCACCTCCTCGCTCTTGGCGCTCCAGATGGGCGCCAGACGCCGCAAGTCCTCCACGTGCATCACAATGTAGCCCCCCACCTGTGCATGTGGGGTTGGGTTGGGTGTGTGTGGTTGGATAAGGAGGAAGAGAGTGAGGGAACAAGGGAGGGAGTGGCACTAATGATGTAACGCTTTGCGCCAGTCTACACTTGCTCTTGGCGCTCCAGATGGGCGCCAGCCGCCGCAAGTCCTCCACGTGAATCACAATGTAGCCCCCCACCTGCGCACGTGGGTGGGCGTATGGTTGGGTGTGGAGGGAGAGAGCGAGGAACAAGCAAGGGAGTGGCGTTGGTGGTGTTCTGCTTTGCGTCAGTCTACACTTCCTTGGAGTCCACGTGAATCACAATGTAGCCCGTCACCTGTGCGCGTGGGTGGGCGTGTGGTTGAGTGTGGGAGAGAGAGTGAGGGAGCAAGAGTGGGATGGGAAGTGGCATGGATAGTGACCACTAGTCCTTCACGTGAATCACAATGTAACCCCCCACCTGTCCGCGGGTGTGGTTAGGTTGTGGGTCAGAGAGAGAAAAGTGGGAGAAGAAGAATGTGCTTGTGTGTGGGGAAGAGGAGAGAAAGAGAGTGAAGAGGAGGAAGAGGAGCGAAGGAGGGAAGGAAGGAAAGAGGAGCTTACCTTGTCACAATACGTGGCGTTTTTCATGTGCAGCTCGCCGAAGCTGTTGTCACACCCCTTGAGGTAGCTGGTGGGGGGAAGGAGGAAAGGAGGGAGAAGGGGAGGGAGGAGCAGGGAGACTCAGAAAATTAGAGGATAACCAAGAGAAGCCAATTGGAGCGAAGAAGTCAAGAGAAGTCAAGAGAAGTCAAGAGGAGTCGAGAGGAGCCACAGGAGCAGCAAGTCGCAGAGCACATACAGAACAGACAGACCGTTTCACACTGTGTTGCATTCGTCAGATAACACGGTTACCACCTCTCACCCGTAATTCGCTGACACTGGGTGGCCTCGCTCCGCCCCCAGCTCCCAGGGCAGCACCGGCCTCCTTATAAGCTGATCCGCGTCCATTATAAGCACCCACTCGACGTCATTCGCGTCAGGACTATTGTCCAGCCAGTATTTCACCCCCACTGGTTTATTAATCGCAGGATACCAGTCACCAGTGCGAGGGCCGCGGCTCCAATTAGGGACCACCATTGTCGGGGCAATATCCAGGCCTCTGTACCCCTTAAGAACATCCTCGTTACAAGCCAGAAGCCGCACGAGCTTCCCTGGCTGGCCTGACCGTTTGAAGCTATAAGCCATGGCTACTGACTGCCAGTCCATATAAGAAGAGCATTCTGCCGAAAACACTGTGATTATACGCGGCGTTCCCTTAACGTGATACGGGCGCCAGGCGTTCGGATCCAGGCTCGGATCCACCCGAACGTCCACCCCTAGGTTCGGCGAAGGCACGGGTACGGGCGGCCAATCGTCTATCTCCACAACCTCCATAGAAGAGGCGTCCTTAAAGCCTGGAGGTAGAACCGCGCTGGTGTTTTCCCGCCAAGATTTGAACCACTGGTCCAGCTTTTCGGGAGTGTCAGCCAGAGGTGTAGGTTTCTCTTCCTCCTCTGATTCCTCTGCTGAGTTTTGTTCGCCTGCTTCCTCTTCCGCCTCCCTCTCGCCCCCATCTCCTCCGCCCTGCTCTACCCCCTCAGTTTTGACTTTGTCGTCTTCCGCCTCTTTCCTGTCTCCACGTGCCTCCCCCTCCCCCTCCTCCTCCTCCTCCACCACCTCTGGCGTTCTGCCCTCTGAAGCATTGTCAGGTTGATTCCTGACCCCGTCGCTCCCCCGCCCTTTAGTGTCGACCTCGACAGTATCAGCACCAGCAGAAACAGCACCACCGTTAACACCGCCACCGTTAGCAGCTTCAACGTTAACACCGCCACCGCTAGCAGCACCACCGTTAACATCACCATCCGCTGTACCGACCCTGCTGGTGGACAGAGTGTCGGTTGCTGATTGACCGAAGGCCTGGTTGAAGATATTTCCGCGCAAAAAGAGGAGGCTCCGCAATGTGGGTCCTGACGTGGCTGCCTTGGGTGATCGCGGATGGTTACCAGTGCGGACGAAATCCGGATGGTCGATAGAAGAGGAGGATGAGGATGAGGGAGTACTTTCATGCAGATCCAGAAGTTTCCGTAATGTGGGTCCCACCAGTGCAGCTACATTGGTCGAACGGGAAGAGTAGGACGTCAGTGACGCTAGCGGATCCGCCTTTAGCGAGGCAAGGATCGAGAAGAGAAGGACGAGCAACAGCAAGTAATAAGGATTTGGATTCATCATGATTGGAACGAAGATGTCGAGCGATCGTTGAGGAGAAGTGGTTCAGATTAACTAGGGTAAACGGAGAATGTGTGTGTGCGGCCTAGATTGGCACGGACATGATGATGGTCGGAAACCCACGTGCGTGTGTGCGCGCTTCAGTGAAGGATCTTTTACTACGAAGACGCATATGTGCTACTGTGCAATGAATCTGGTCCCTAGGGAGCACTATCAGAGGAATACGGGCATTGGGATTAGAAGGATCGTGAATAGCAGCAGCATAGGGAATGCCAGCGTTAGGATGTATCTAATGCCAGCGAGGAGAAGGAAGTTGGCATTCTAGGATTTCCCGCGTTCCCTGAATGATGTGGGACTTGCTCGAGAATACCATACAAGCCATATGGTGTTGGCGGAATTGTTTCGCGGATGTCGGGAAACATTTCTGTGCTTTCGGCAGAGGCGAAAAGATGGTTTCCATGTGAGTCAAGCTCGTCATTCCCTTGGTTGGGGTGATTGGGTGTCGCCAAAGTTACAGAACTTCTTCGTACGCGGGCTGTGGCTGCCTGAATTTGATCACTGACAAGGCTGTCAGAGCAGAGTGCTGTCGTACTTACTCGTTATTGAATTACTCAATAACAGAACCTTCCTTCTTCTCATTCATTCTCATTGCTACTCATTTTCACGGGTGCATTTGACTGCATGTCAGGTTTTGACAGAACGGTACAGTGCGTTTCTTCACGATATCCAGCGTCTGAAACCTTTACATTTCGGTATCGTGAGTTCACGATCCAGGTCGTCAGGATTTGACATGACTCACCATCATGAATTTCTTCGTCTTGTCAGAAATCAGAGCAGTATACTTGACGAATTCATGAATTGCAAGTCTCTGACCAGGGAATTTTAGAAGACAAAGGCCAAGGAACAAGTGTCATTCGCGGCTGTATCAATAACAAATCATACATATCTCAAAAGATTTTCTACTTGGCTTCTCATCTTAGCATCTAAAGCGTTTTTCAGCATTTTCTTTCCTTGTTCAGACTGCAAGCGACCAATTACAGGGTCTAGCAAGGTCCTCGGTTCTTAGAGTTAAGCTTCTGCGAGTCAGCGTAGGATCTACCTCGCAGCTCCGGTAGCCTCTCATTGCATTCCTCTCCGGAATCTCCGAATCTCCTGTGTTGGTCTTATACGCACTCAGGATCCCTCTTGTCGCATCAACCTTACCATTGGTCACACATTCATTTTCCAAGTCAAACAGGGTTTTATCGGACCTTCTTAGTCCACGAGCTCCTTTGCCAATCCGATCGCAATTCGTTGGAATTCCTGAGGACAAAGACTTCATACCGTGCATTTACTGCTACGGTTGCGATGCCTCCGAAAGGAGGCGGAGGGGGTCGGGGGAGGGGAAGAACCGCAGCAGCTGGCGGAAGAGGGGGGGGAGGCGGACGCGTGGGGGGCCGAGTGGCGCAAGGGAGAGCGCCTGGAGGTACTGCAAAGCAGTCAGTTCCCGCTCCCAGCGGAACAGGCGGAAAGACTGACACATCAAAGAGAGTTGGAGTGGGAGGTCCTTCGGGTGTCTCCTCTGCTGGCCCTACGAGAGTGGAGGGAGGTGGGAATGCCAAGTCGGTGACGCTCATTGGTGGAGGGTTGGGGAAGAACGCGTTCGAACGAGCCACGGAGGTTCGGTTGAGTCCCGAGGCTGAAGAGCAGCTTCGAATGCTGGTTGTTAAGGTGAGAGGAGATGATTCAAGGGCTGGAAAGAGTTGCAGCTACTTTGGTTTAGTGCTATACCCATGCATGATCAGTGCTTTTGCCATGCTCCTTGCCCATTTCTTCGGTTTTTGAAACGCAGAAGTCTGAAACTTCCATTTTTCTTGTGTTTTGTTTGTTGTGGCGGTTTGACGAATTCATTCAGGCATACGATACCAAGAAAGGTGCGAACGGCAGCAGCACCTTGGATGCTTCTCCTGCGGCCTCATCATATTCCACAGACAGCGCTGCTGGTCCCATGACAGTACTCGAAGAGAAGACTGCCAACAGGCGCATATTATCCGCGTACGAAACACTCTCCAGAGAGGGATTTACTGTAGAGCAGGTGGAGAATGCGCTCTCGTCACTCGTCCCCTCGTCGCTTTCCCTGGAAGCAGCTTTTGATTGGCTCTGCCTGCACTTGGCACCTCAGCAGCTGCCGCATCATTTCGCCTCGGCAGCTGCCACTGCCACGCTGGCACGAGGTGACGTGGAGGTGGTGCTTGCTGCTGCTGACGTGGAAGGGGAAGGACAGCGAGGCGGCGACGACGCATGGGGAAAAGACGGAGATGAGGAAGGGGGAAGTGGGGGAAGGTCCTCAGCAGCAGAAGCTGAGAAATTCAGGAAGATGGAAGAAGAGAGGAAGGCGAAGGAGGAGGCAGAAGAGAAGGAGAGAGAGAAGGAGAGGAAGAAAAAGCAAGCGGATTGGATCAAGCGGTATGTGACGGAATATGAGAGTGAGGAGGAGGAGAGTGAGGGTGAAGGGAAGGAGGAGGAGGACGAGGAGGAGGATGACTGGGAGAAGGTAGCAGATGGGGTGGGTTCAGCTGGATCAACAGCAGGAAACGACCTGCTCAAGGGTTCTCCTCTCTGGGAGGTGAGGCTTAAGTAAGGGTCCTCTCTTGCTGTGTATATATATGCTATGACGGTATGACCTGCATCTGTGCGGTTTGCATAATTTCCTGTTTTGGCTTGTGCTGCTTTATGTTATATCCCGTGCTGTTGTGTGTGCACTGCTGTGTTCTGCCCTGTCTACAGGTTTGGGCGGATGCAAGAGAGAGAAGACGGAGGAAGGAGCTCAGGAAAAAGGTACTGGCGTCTATGTTCAGGTGTCCTCTCAGTGTCCTTTCAGGCCTCTCTCAGGTGTCCTTTTAGGTCTCTCAGATATCCTCTCTGTCCTCTCAGATGTCCTCTCATTCCGGTATCCTCCCTCCCTCCCTTCTGTACCAAGAGGCATTGAAATTCCTTTTTTCCCTCCCCACCCTCTCGATTCCCTTTCCTCGCCCCTCCCCCTCCCCACTCTCAAAACCTCAAGCTTAAACCCTAAACCTTGGAGCTAAACCCTTGGCGTTGGACCTGGGGAGAGGCCTTCAGATTCCTCCGACCCCAATATTCCACCCCCTCCTCGCCACGCTTCCCGCCAAACCCCCTCTTCCCTCCACCCCAGACCCCTGCAGAGCAGCGCGTGCAGTCCTTGGCGATGGATCTGGGGAGGGCTAAGGGGGAGGCGGCACGTGCGAAAGGGTGCATGGACAAGGGCAGGCAGGCAGAGGCGGGGTTGCTGATCCGCGAGATCAAAGAGGAGGCTGCAGCATATGGTACGGGCTGTGCAATGGTAGGGGTCTTGATGTGTGCGCATATGATTTTTCAAGCCGGCAGGCAGAGTCGGATCTAGGGAGGGCCAAGGGAGAGGCAGCGAGGGCGAAAAGGTGCATGGACAAGGGCCGACAGGCAGAGGCAGGGCTGCTGATTCGCGAGATCAAGGAGGAGGCTGCAGCGTATGGTATGGCATGTGCAATGGTAGGGGTCTTGATGTGTGAATGTGCATGAAGGTTCAAGCAGGCAGGGAGAGTCAGACTTGGGGAGGGCCAGGGGGGAGGTAGCATGTGCGAAGGGGAGCATGGACAAGGGCAGGCAGGCAGAGGCGGGGCTGCTGATCCGCGAGATCAAAGAGGAGGCTGCAGCATATGGTATGGCATGTGCAATGAGGATAATGGGGATGTACATGGAAGCACTACTAAAGAGGTATTTCTTTGACGTGTTAGAAGCCATCAAGGTGTATCCGTTCTAATTGCGGGTTATTCTGATTCCATACTCGAAGAGGCTAACCAGCAGCACCACCACCAGCAGATACACTAACATGTGCTGTGCATGTTTACATGCACGTCTGAATGCTCCTTTACGCTGGTAGTGCAGGTTATTCTGAACACATGCTCGAAGAGGCTAGCCAGCAGCAGCAGCATCACCAGCAGCAGATACACTAACATGTGCTGTGCATGTATACATGCATGTTCTTAAAGCCTCTTTACACTGGTGGTGCAGGTTATTCTGAATCCATGCTCGAAGAGGCCAACCAGGAGCAGCAGCGGGTTGCTGCAGGAGAGGATGAGGAGAACGCGGAAGAGGAAGGAGGGTTTGGGTTGTTTGGGGAAGAGGAAGAGGAGGAGGAAGCGCCATCGGAAAGGGGAGGGAAAGCAGCAAGTGGAGAGGGGGAAGGAGCAGGGGCAGGAGCAGCAGGAAAGCCAGCAGAAAAGGAGGCAGAAGAGGAGGATATGGGGCTGGAAGGCATGTCTCTCTTCGATGATGAGAGTGACGAGCAAGGGGGGATGGGGAAGGGCGCAGCACCAGCATTGCCTGAGTCTGTTCTGGCGCTGCAGCGGAAGAGTGCGAGGGAGAGAGCGTGGCAGCAGCAGCAGCAGCAGCAGATGCTGGCGGGTGGCAGGGGGGGAGGGAAAGGTGGAGGGAAGGATAAGAAAGGCAAGGACGCTGCTGCTGCGGACATGCAACGGCAGCCCAAGGCTCTGCTGCAGCAGCACTGCCTTAAAGCCCTCTGGCCCGCTCCCAAGTACACGAAGCTTCCAGGAAGCAGCGGCGCAGGGAAGTTTAGCTACTCGGTGACTGTGGTACGTCAGGGGGGCAGGGGAGGAGGGGGTAAGGGAGGAGGAGCGGGAGGGGGGAAAGGAGGGGGAGTGGGGGTAGGGCCAATCACGTTCCAGGTGCCAGCAGCGGAGGATGGGTTTGAGAGTGTGTCAGAGGCTCAAAACGCAGTGGCGCTTCTGGCACTGCACGCCCTCCTGCCCCACATGCCGCTGCACCATCAGCTTGTTTCTCCCTACCGAGAGCAGTGGCTGGAGCTGGCAGAGAAAGCAGGTGAGCTATGGTGCGAGCTTACAAAATAGCAGAGGATGGGTTTGAGAGTGTGTCAGAGGGACAGAATGTAGTGGCGCTCTTGGCACTGCACGCCCTCCTGCCCCACATGCCGCTGCACCATCAGCTGGTCTCTCCTTACCGAGAGCAGTGGCTGGAACTGGCAGAGAAAGCAGGTAAATTTGTTTTGAAACGTCTCACTAAGATATTTCATGATCTGTTTTCTTAATGGTGGAACAACATGCAGTGGCTCTTGTTGCCCTTCATCATTTCACTTCCCCGTGTGGATTTCTCTTGCAAGAACTCGAGCTATTCCATTCTCACATGTCTCCCTCCCAGATGCTGCAGAGACGAGCAGCAGCAGCGCAGCTGCAGCAGCAGAGGCAGCAGCCAGGCACCAAATCAAGTTCGCTGCAGCACTCGTGGATAAAGAGATTAGGGCTAGGGAGGCCGCTGCTGCTGGTGGTACTGGTGCTGATGGTGCTGGTGGTGGCGATGCTGAGGAGAGCCCATTCAAGGGTGCAGAAAAAGAGAAGTCGATGGGAGGAGGGCAGAAGAAGCAAAAAATCCCTTTCCTTGGGCAAGAGGAAGGTGAGTGAGTGATTCTTTCCATCTTAGCTTCTCAAAACTAGTGTCATCTGAATTTCCAGATCACAATGTTTTGACATGACTCATGGCTCATGGCTCGTTCCCGTGACTTGACATTTCCTTTAAGGTCAATGATGGTTCTAAGGTCACTGATGGCAAAACCTCAGAGGGGGAGTGGAGATTTCAACCTCCCTCCCTCTTCCCCCCGGCTCGCACTATCCTTCTCCCAGTCCCGGCTGTGGTGCGCAAGAGGGAGGCTCGGAGGCGGGAGCTGCAGCAGCGGTGGTACCAGTGGCAGGGCCTGGCAGTTGGAGGGGCAGGCGGGGCAGGAGGAACAGGAGGAACAGGAGTCACATTGTTTCTCTCTCTCCCCTATCTCCCCATTGTTCCCCTCCCAGGCCCGGTTGTGGTGCGCAGGAGGGAGGCTCAGAGCCGGGAACTGCAGCAGCGGTGGCGCCAGTGGCAGGCCCTGGCAATTGGAGGGGCAGGCGGGGCAGGAGGAACAGGAGGAACCAACAGAGAGGCAATGGAAACAAGTGAGAGGAGGGCGATGCAGGAGATGAAGAGGAAGCGGGGAGAGCTACCGATGGCAGCAGTGAGGGAGGAGGTGGTGCAGGCGTTGAGGGAGGGGGATGTGGTGGTGGTGAGTGGGGAGACCGGGTCGGGCAAGACCACACAGGTGCCGCAGTATATCTTTGAAGAGGCGGAAGCTTCCGGGAAGGCGGGGTTCTGCAATATCGTGTGCACGCAGCCTCGACGAATTGCTGTGAGTCAAAATATGTATATAAATATATATATATATATCTTTATAAGGAGAGTCAAAGAGAGGCAAAGGAGACGAGTGAGGGAGGAGGTGGTGCAGGCGGTGAGGGAGGGGGATGTGGTGGTGGTGAGTGGGGAGACGGGGTCCGGCAAGACCACCCAGGTGCCGCAGTATATCTTCGAGGACGCGGAAGCTTCTGGGAAGGCGGGGTTCTGCAACATCGTGTGCACGCAGCCTCGGCCGATCGCTGTAAGTCGATGGGAAAAAAAGAAACAAACATATCTCAATTTCTCAAAGGGTTGTTATGCGTGCCTCAATGTATCATCACAGCTCTATGCACTTCATTGGAAATCCACCTGTGTCCCATTCCTCACTCCTCTCTCCCCCATCTCTCCACCCCCCCCCCCCCCCCCTTCTCCCCCAACCAGGCCATATCGGTGGCAGAGCGAGTGGCAGCAGAGCGGTGTGAGCCCCCCATAGGGAGTGGCGGCAGGGGAGGTGGTGGTGCAGCAGGCGTGGTGGGGTACCATGTGAGGCTGGACGCTGTCAAGTGAGTGTTTGTTGTGACATAGCATATAGTGGGCTAGTGTGAGTCAATGCGAGTCAGTGTGTTGCCATGTAGTGCGTGATTGAGTCAATGCGAGTCAGTGTGTTGCCATGTAGTGCGTGATTGAGTCAATGCGAGTCAGTGTGTTGCCATGTAGTGCGTGATTGAGTCAATGCAGATGAATCATGAATGTGTTGGCATGGCATTGAGTAAAATTGTTGCCGTTTTCATTTGTTTTGTTCGTTTTATTTTTGTTATTTTTTCTTTTGCCGACCCTTTGTCCCTTCGAGGAACCTTGCACAGGCATTTTAGTGCGGAGGCTTGTTGGCGAGTCGCGATCCTCTGCAGGCGGGCGAGGGGACTGGGGAGGCACAGAGGAGAACCTTATCCCATAATCTGTTCATTTCTGCCCCATTTTCTTCGTTTTTTGTTTCTTTTCTTTTGTCTGTGTTTTCTACCCCCCTTTCCGTTCTCAGAACATGGTATACGCGCATACTGTTCTGCACCACGGGAATCTTATTGAGGCGACTAGTGGGCGACCCTCTCCTGTCAGACGTGACGCACGTGGTGGTGGACGAGGTGCATGAGCGCTCCATCCAGGGCGACTTCCTCCTCGTCATCCTCCGAGACCTGCTGGCCCGCCGCCAACACATGAGACGACAAATGCCACACCTCCCTGTGTTAAAGCTCGTGCTCATGTGAGTGTTTGGTGGATGGGTAGGCTGCTGGTGCGTGCATGCTGGTGGTCCCTCTTCCCTCCATCCAGGGCGACTTCCTCCTCGTCATCCTCACAGACCTGCTGGCCCGCCGCCAGCAGATGAGACGACAGATGCCGCACCTCCCCGCCTTCAAACTGGTTCTCATGTGAGTTCCAAGCAGGCAGGCAGGCAGGTCAGCCACTCTGCGTGCTTCTCTGTTCGCCTCCTACTTCTCCGGCTGCCCCATCAACCAAGCTCCATTGCCAATCTCCCTCTCTTTCCTCCCTCCCTCCGTCTCTCCCTCCTTTCTCCCTTCCACTTCTCTTCTATTTTCAGGTCAGCCACTCTGGATGCGTCTCTCTTCGCCTCCTACTTCTCCGGCTGCCCGGTCATTCAAGCCCAGGGCCGGACCTTCCCCGTGGAGATGAAATATCTAGAAGACGTGTATGAGAGCACGGGGTACAAGCTCTCTTCCGACTCTCCAGCTGCTCTCAGATCGGAATCCAATCAGTCCCGCGCCAAGGTACACTCACCGTGTGTGCAAGGCAAGGCAAGCCCAGGGGCGCACCTTCCCGGTGGAAATGAAGTATTTGGAGGACGTATATGAGAGCACGGGGTACAAGCTCTCCTTCTCTGAATCCCATCAGTCCCGAGCCAAGATACAGTCCCCGTGTGTGTGTGAGCAGTCTCAAGGGTAGACAGGGTTGGTTCTTTCCTGTTTTGCAAGGCAATGTGAGCCCAGGGCCGCACCTTCCCGGTGGAGATGAAGTATTTGGAGGACGTGTATGAGAGCACGGGGTACAAGCTTTCTTCGGACTCACCAGCTGCTCTCAGATCTGAATCCCATCAGTCCCGAGCCAAGGTACAGTTGTAATGTGCAGTGTGAAGACTAGATAGGGGTGAGCCTCCCCTGGTAGAGACGAGATGATGTTTAATGCAATCTTTGAGGTGCCTAAAGAAACGACTCAGTTCTCGCAGATTTTGAGGCGCCTAAAAAATCGTCTAGATAGGGTGAGCCTCCCCTGGTAGAGATGAGGTGATGCTCGATGGTGCAATCCGATCTGATTGGAGAGGAGCATTCTCATCAGAAGACCCGTTTTGTTCCGATGAAAACCCCTTTGTTGCGCCCTGCTTGTGCCACGCCCTCCCACGCCCTCCCAGGCCCTCCCACGCACTCCCACGCCCACACCACAGGGCTCCAAGGCAGCAGCGGGAGGCGGTAGCAAGACCAAGCAGAAACTGCTGAAGGCGGGATGGGGCGATGATGCTTCCCTGCAGGCTGAAACAGTGAATCCGGATTACGATGCCTCGCGATACAGCGACTACAGCGACAGCACCCGGAAAAATCTGGTGAGCAGATCCTGTTTCTGAAGAGCTGATAATAAGAATTTCTGGTGCCATGCGGCCCTGACGCCATCCTCGTTCCTCTCTTCTGGGCTCCCTCACTCACATGATGTGCTCCCTCACCCCTGTGCCTCCTGCACTCCAAACAACAGCGCAGAGTGGACGAGGGAACGATAGACTACGAGCTACTGGAGGACGTGGTTGCTCACATCGACTCCACATGCGGCCCTGACGCCATCCTCGTTCCTCTCTTCTGGGCTCCCTCACTCACATGATGTGCTCCCTCACCCCTGTGCCTCCTGCACTCCAAACAACAGCGCAGAGTGGACGAGGGGACGATAGACTACGAGCTACTGGAGGACGTGGTTTCTCACATCGACTCCACATGCGGCCCAGGAGCCATCCTCGTCTTTCTGCCTGTGAGCTCCCTCCCCTGTGAGTGCCTTCCGAGTGTTGCTCCTCTAATCGTTGTTCTGTTCCCTCAAAGCGACTCCACATGCGGCCCAGGAGCCATCCTTGATCACACATGGTCACACGTGGTCACACTTGGTCACACGTGGTCACACGTGGTCACACGTGGTCACACGTGGTCACACGTGGTCACACGTGGTCACACGTGGTCACACGTGGTCACCTTTGAATCCCATCTGTATAAACATCACATTTATCTACCCCTCATCAGGGCATGGGCGAGATCCAGTACCTGTGGGACAGGCTGGCAGCCTCGAGGCAGTTTGGGGCGCCGGGGAAGGTGGAGTGGCTGCTGCCTCTGCACTCGTCCGTGTCGGCTGCTGAGCAGCGAACAGCATTCAACAGCCCTCCCAGTGGCGTGCGCAAGGTAAGTCTGATGCTTTATGTTCCTTCATCGAAAGTATGGACCCCAGGTGGTACTGGCGACCAACATAGCAGAGACGAGTATCGCCATTGACGATGTGGTGTATGTGGTGGACGTGAGGTGGTGTGCTACCCATGCCCAACTTGTGTGGTCACTACCCGTCCCACCGTTCCTCCTCCCTCCCTCTTCTCACTTCCCCCACCCCAGGTGGTACTGGCGACCAACATAGCAGAGACGAGCATCACCATTGACGATGTGGTGTATGTGGTGGACGTGTGCTGGTGTCCTTCCCATGCCCAAACTGTGTGATTAACTCTCATCGTCCCCTTCTCACCTCCCTCTTCTCACTTCCCTTGCCCCCAGGTGGTACTGGCGACCAACATAGCGGAGACGAGTATCACCATTGACGATGTGGTGTATGTGGTGGACGTGGGCAAGCAGAAGGAGACGCAGTTTGATGCCAGGAGGGTGAGTGCGTGCAGTGCATGAGGCACCTCTTGAGGCATGTCTGAGGCAGGTATTGGGCCGTGTGTTGACCTTGTGGACCCAAATGTGGTGTATGTGGTGGACGTGGGCAAGCAGAAGGAGACGCAGTTCGACACCAGGAGGGTGAGTGCATGAAGCAGTGGGACTGTCCTCTCCACGTGTAATGAGTCGTGAGTCGACTCAAAACTGGACTGTCCTCTCCACCCGAAAGTATAGAAGGGACTGTCCTCTCCACCCGAAAGTATAGAAGGGAGTATAGAAGGGACTGTCCTCTCCACCCGAAAACAATGTTACAAGCCAATTTTGAACCTGCTTTCTAAAATAATCTTATACCCCCCCCAGTCTTCCTCCTCCTCACCGCTCCCCCTGTTTTCCTTTCTTTCCAAATCCTTCTGCACCAATGTCCTACGTCCCCCCCTTCCACCTCCCTCCTATGATGGTCGCTCTTCCTACTCTCCCTCCTCTCACATCTCCCACCGTTCCCTTTGCTCCCGCTGTTGCCTCTCCCACAGGGCATGACCAGTCTGGTGGAGGCGTGGGTGGCCAAGGCCAACGTGAGGCAGAGGGCGGGCAGGGCGGGGCGAGTGCAGGCAGGACGGTACCTCGTCCAGTCCCCTTCCCACTTCTCCCACCATTCCCACTCCTCCCACTGTTCATACATCACAGGGCATGACCAGTCTGGTGGAGGCGTGGGTGGCCAAGGCCAACGTGAGGCAGAGGGCGGGCAGGGCGGGGCGAGTGCAGGCAGGACGGTACCTCGTCCAGTCCCCTTCCCACTTCTCCCACCATTCCCACTCCTCCCACTGTTCATACATCACAGGGCATGACCAGTCTGGTGGAGGCGTGGGTGGCCAAGGCCAACGTGAGGCAGAGGGCGGGCAGGGCGGGGCGAGTGCAGGCAGGACGGTACCTCGTCCAGTCCCCTTCCCACTTCTCCCACCATTCCCACTCCTCCCACTGTTCATACATCACAGGGCATGACCAGTCTGGTGGAGGCGTGGGTGGCCAAGGCCAACGTGAGGCAGAGGGCGGGCAGGGCGGGGCGAGTGCAGGCAGGACGGTACCTCGTCCAGTCCCCTTCCCACTTCTCCCACCATTCCCACTCCTCCCACTGTTCATACATCACAGGGCATGACCAGTCTGGTGGAGGCGTGGGTGGCCAAGGCCAACGTGAGGCAGAGGGCGGGCAGGGCGGGGCGAGTGCAGGCAGGACGGTACCTCGTCCAGTCCCCTTCCCACTTCTCCCACCATTCCCACTCCTCCCACTGTTCATACATCACAGGGCATGACCAGTCTGGTGGAGGCGTGGGTGGCCAAGGCCAACGTGAGGCAGAGGGCGGGCAGGGCGGGGCGAGTGCAGGCAGGACGGTACCTCGTCCAGTCCCCTTCCCACTTCTCCCACCATTCCCACTCCTCCCACTGTTCATACATCACAGGGCATGACCAGTCTGGTGGAGGCGTGGGTGGCCAAGGCCAACGTGAGGCAGAGGGCGGGCAGGGCGGGGCGAGTGCAGGCAGGACGGTACCTCGTCCAGTCCCCTTCCCACTTCTCCCACCATTCCCACTCCTCCCACTGTTCATACATCACAGGGCATGACCAGTCTGGTGGAGGCGTGGGTGGCCAAGGCCAACGTGAGGCAGAGGGCGGGCAGGGCGGGGCGAGTGCAGGCAGGACGGTACCTCGTCCAGTCCCCTTCCCACTTCTCCCACCATTCCCACTCCTCCCACTGTTCATACATCACAGGGCATGACCAGTCTGGTGGAGGCGTGGGTGGCCAAGGCCAACGTGAGGCAGAGGGCGGGCAGGGCGGGGCGAGTGCAGGCAGGACGGTACCTCGTCCAGTCCCCTTCCCACTTCTCCCACCATTCCCACTCCTCCCACTGTTCATACATCACAGGGCATGACCAGTCTGGTGGAGGCGTGGGTGGCCAAGGCCAACGTGAGGCAGAGGGCGGGCAGGGCGGGGCGAGTGCAGGCAGGACGGTACCTCGTCCAGTCCCCTTCCCACTTCTCCCACCATTCCCACTCCTCCCACTGTTCATACATCACAGGGCATGACCAGTCTGGTGGAGGCGTGGGTGGCCAAGGCCAACGTGAGGCAGAGGGCGGGCAGGGCGGGGCGAGTGCAGGCAGGACGGTACCTCGTCCAGTCCCCTTCCCACTTCTCCCACCATTCCCACTCCTCCCACTGTTCATACATCACAGGGCATGACCAGTCTGGTGGAGGCGTGGGTGGCCAAGGCCAACGTGAGGCAGAGGGCGGGCAGGGCGGGGCGAGTGCAGGCAGGACGGTACCTCGTCCAGTCCCCTTCCCACTTCTCCCACCATTCCCACTCCTCCCACTGTTCATACATCACAGGGCATGACCAGTCTGGTGGAGGCGTGGGTGGCCAAGGCCAACGTGAGGCAGAGGGCGGGCAGGGCGGGGCGAGTGCAGGCAGGACGGTACCTCGTCCAGTCCCCTTCCCACTTCTCCCACCATTCCCACTCCTCCCACTGTTCATACATCACAGGGCATGACCAGTCTGGTGGAGGCGTGGGTGGCCAAGGCCAACGTGAGGCAGAGGGCGGGCAGGGCGGGGCGAGTGCAGGCAGGACGGTACCTCGTCCAGTCCCCTTCCCACTTCTCCCACCATTCCCACTCCTCCCACTGTTCATACATCACAGGGCATGACCAGTCTGGTGGAGGCGTGGGTGGCCAAGGCCAACGTGAGGCAGAGGGCGGGCAGGGCGGGGCGAGTGCAGGCAGGACGGTACCTCGTCCAGTCCCCTTCCCACTTCTCCCACCATTCCCACTCCTCCCACTGTTCATACATCACAGGGCATGACCAGTCTGGTGGAGGCGTGGGTGGCCAAGGCCAACGTGAGGCAGAGGGCGGGCAGGGCGGGGCGAGTGCAGGCAGGACGGTACCTCGTCCAGTCCCCTTCCCACTTCTCCCACCATTCCCACTCCTCCCACTGTTCATACATCACAGGGCATGACCAGTCTGGTGGAGGCGTGGGTGGCCAAGGCCAACGTGAGGCAGAGGGCGGGCAGGGCGGGGCGAGTGCAGGCAGGACGGTACCTCGTCCAGTCCCCTTCCCACTTCTCCCACCATTCCCACTCCTCCCACTGTTCATACATCACAGGGCATGACCAGTCTGGTGGAGGCGTGGGTGGCCAAGGCCAACGTGAGGCAGAGGGCGGGCAGGGCGGGGCGAGTGCAGGCAGGACGGTACCTCGTCCAGTCCCCTTCCCACTTCTCCCACCATTCCCACTCCTCCCACTGTTCATACATCACAGGGCATGACCAGTCTGGTGGAGGCGTGGGTGGCCAAGGCCAACGTGAGGCAGAGGGCGGGCAGGGCGGGGCGAGTGCAGGCAGGACGGTACCTCGTCCAGTCCCCTTCCCACTTCTCCCACCATTCCCACTCCTCCCACTGTTCATACATCACAGGGCATGACCAGTCTGGTGGAGGCGTGGGTGGCCAAGGCCAACGTGAGGCAGAGGGCGGGCAGGGCGGGGCGAGTGCAGGCAGGACGGTACCTCGTCCAGTCCCCTTCCCACTTCTCCCACCATTCCCACTCCTCCCACTGTTCATACATCACAGGGCATGACCAGTCTGGTGGAGGCGTGGGTGGCCAAGGCCAACGTGAGGCAGAGGGCGGGCAGGGCGGGGCGAGTGCAGGCAGGACGGTACCTCGTCCAGTCCCCTTCCCACTTCTCCCACCATTCCCACTCCTCCCACTGTTCATACATCACAGGGCATGACCAGTCTGGTGGAGGCGTGGGTGGCCAAGGCCAACGTGAGGCAGAGGGCGGGCAGGGCGGGGCGAGTGCAGGCAGGACGGTACCTCGTCCAGTCCCCTTCCCACTTCTCCCACCATTCCCACTCCTCCCACTGTTCATACATCACAGGGCATGACCAGTCTGGTGGAGGCGTGGGTGGCCAAGGCCAACGTGAGGCAGAGGGCGGGCAGGGCGGGGCGAGTGCAGGCAGGACGGTACCTCGTCCAGTCCCCTTCCCACTTCTCCCACCATTCCCACTCCTCCCACTGTTCATACATCACAGGGCATGACCAGTCTGGTGGAGGCGTGGGTGGCCAAGGCCAACGTGAGGCAGAGGGCGGGCAGGGCGGGGCGAGTGCAGGCAGGACGGTACCTCGTCCAGTCCCCTTCCCACTTCTCCCACCATTCCCACTCCTCCCACTGTTCATACATCACAGGGCATGACCAGTCTGGTGGAGGCGTGGGTGGCCAAGGCCAACGTGAGGCAGAGGGCGGGCAGGGCGGGGCGAGTGCAGGCAGGACGGTACCTCGTCCAGTCCCCTTCCCACTTCTCCCACCATTCCCACTCCTCCCACTGTTCATACATCACAGGGCATGACCAGTCTGGTGGAGGCGTGGGTGGCCAAGGCCAACGTGAGGCAGAGGGCGGGCAGGGCGGGGCGAGTGCAGGCAGGACGGTACCTCGTCCAGTCCCCTTCCCACTTCTCCCACCATTCCCACTCCTCCCACTGTTCATACATCACAGGGCATGACCAGTCTGGTGGAGGCGTGGGTGGCCAAGGCCAACGTGAGGCAGAGGGCGGGCAGGGCGGGGCGAGTGCAGGCAGGACGGTACCTCGTCCAGTCCCCTTCCCACTTCTCCCACCATTCCCACTCCTCCCACTGTTCATACATCACAGGGCATGACCAGTCTGGTGGAGGCGTGGGTGGCCAAGGCCAACGTGAGGCAGAGGGCGGGCAGGGCGGGGCGAGTGCAGGCAGGACGGTACCTCGTCCAGTCCCCTTCCCACTTCTCCCACCATTCCCACTCCTCCCACTGTTCATACATCACAGGGCATGACCAGTCTGGTGGAGGCGTGGGTGGCCAAGGCCAACGTGAGGCAGAGGGCGGGCAGGGCGGGGCGAGTGCAGGCAGGACGGTACCTCGTCCAGTCCCCTTCCCACTTCTCCCACCATTCCCACTCCTCCCACTGTTCATACATCACAGGGCATGACCAGTCTGGTGGAGGCGTGGGTGGCCAAGGCCAACGTGAGGCAGAGGGCGGGCAGGGCGGGGCGAGTGCAGGCAGGACGGTACCTCGTCCAGTCCCCTTCCCACTTCTCCCACCATTCCCACTCCTCCCACTGTTCATACATCACAGGGCATGACCAGTCTGGTGGAGGCGTGGGTGGCCAAGGCCAACGTGAGGCAGAGGGCGGGCAGGGCGGGGCGAGTGCAGGCAGGACGGTACCTCGTCCAGTCCCCTTCCCACTTCTCCCACCATTCCCACTCCTCCCACTGTTCATACATCACAGGGCATGACCAGTCTGGTGGAGGCGTGGGTGGCCAAGGCCAACGTGAGGCAGAGGGCGGGCAGGGCGGGGCGAGTGCAGGCAGGACGGTACCTCGTCCAGTCCCCTTCCCACTTCTCCCACCATTCCCACTCCTCCCACTGTTCATACATCACAGGGCATGACCAGTCTGGTGGAGGCGTGGGTGGCCAAGGCCAACGTGAGGCAGAGGGCGGGCAGGGCGGGGCGAGTGCAGGCAGGACGGTACCTCGTCCAGTCCCCTTCCCACTTCTCCCACCATTCCCACTCCTCCCACTGTTCATACATCACAGGGCATGACCAGTCTGGTGGAGGCGTGGGTGGCCAAGGCCAACGTGAGGCAGAGGGCGGGCAGGGCGGGGCGAGTGCAGGCAGGACGGTACCTCGTCCAGTCCCCTTCCCACTTCTCCCACCATTCCCACTCCTCCCACTGTTCATACATCACAGGGCATGACCAGTCTGGTGGAGGCGTGGGTGGCCAAGGCCAACGTGAGGCAGAGGGCGGGCAGGGCGGGGCGAGTGCAGGCAGGACGGTACCTCGTCCAGTCCCCTTCCCACTTCTCCCACCATTCCCACTCCTCCCACTGTTCATACATCACAGGGCATGACCAGTCTGGTGGAGGCGTGGGTGGCCAAGGCCAACGTGAGGCAGAGGGCGGGCAGGGCGGGGCGAGTGCAGGCAGGACGGTACCTCGTCCAGTCCCCTTCCCACTTCTCCCACCATTCCCACTCCTCCCACTGTTCATACATCACAGGGCATGACCAGTCTGGTGGAGGCGTGGGTGGCCAAGGCCAACGTGAGGCAGAGGGCGGGCAGGGCGGGGCGAGTGCAGGCAGGACGGTACCTCGTCCAGTCCCCTTCCCACTTCTCCCACCATTCCCACTCCTCCCACTGTTCATACATCACAGGGCATGACCAGTCTGGTGGAGGCGTGGGTGGCCAAGGCCAACGTGAGGCAGAGGGCGGGCAGGGCGGGGCGAGTGCAGGCAGGACGGTACCTCGTCCAGTCCCCTTCCCACTTCTCCCACCATTCCCACTCCTCCCACTGTTCATACATCACAGGGCATGACCAGTCTGGTGGAGGCGTGGGTGGCCAAGGCCAACGTGAGGCAGAGGGCGGGCAGGGCGGGGCGAGTGCAGGCAGGACGGTACCTCGTCCAGTCCCCTTCCCACTTCTCCCACCATTCCCACTCCTCCCACTGTTCATACATCACAGGGCATGACCAGTCTGGTGGAGGCGTGGGTGGCCAAGGCCAACGTGAGGCAGAGGGCGGGCAGGGCGGGGCGAGTGCAGGCAGGACGGTACCTCGTCCAGTCCCCTTCCCACTTCTCCCACCATTCCCACTCCTCCCACTGTTCATACATCACAGGGCATGACCAGTCTGGTGGAGGCGTGGGTGGCCAAGGCCAACGTGAGGCAGAGGGCGGGCAGGGCGGGGCGAGTGCAGGCAGGACGGTACCTCGTCCAGTCCCCTTCCCACTTCTCCCACCATTCCCACTCCTCCCACTGTTCATACATCACAGGGCATGACCAGTCTGGTGGAGGCGTGGGTGGCCAAGGCCAACGTGAGGCAGAGGGCGGGCAGGGCGGGGCGAGTGCAGGCAGGACGGTACCTCGTCCAGTCCCCTTCCCACTTCTCCCACCATTCCCACTCCTCCCACTGTTCATACATCACAGGGCATGACCAGTCTGGTGGAGGCGTGGGTGGCCAAGGCCAACGTGAGGCAGAGGGCGGGCAGGGCGGGGCGAGTGCAGGCAGGACGGTACCTCGTCCAGTCCCCTTCCCACTTCTCCCACCATTCCCACTCCTCCCACTGTTCATACATCACAGGGCATGACCAGTCTGGTGGAGGCGTGGGTGGCCAAGGCCAACGTGAGGCAGAGGGCGGGCAGGGCGGGGCGAGTGCAGGCAGGACGGTACCTCGTCCAGTCCCCTTCCCACTTCTCCCACCATTCCCACTCCTCCCACTGTTCATACATCACAGGGCATGACCAGTCTGGTGGAGGCGTGGGTGGCCAAGGCCAACGTGAGGCAGAGGGCGGGCAGGGCGGGGCGAGTGCAGGCAGGACGGTACCTCGTCCAGTCCCCTTCCCACTTCTCCCACCATTCCCACTCCTCCCACTGTTCATACATCACAGGGCATGACCAGTCTGGTGGAGGCGTGGGTGGCCAAGGCCAACGTGAGGCAGAGGGCGGGCAGGGCGGGGCGAGTGCAGGCAGGACGGTACCTCGTCCAGTCCCCTTCCCACTTCTCCCACCATTCCCACTCCTCCCACTGTTCATACATCACAGGGCATGACCAGTCTGGTGGAGGCGTGGGTGGCCAAGGCCAACGTGAGGCAGAGGGCGGGCAGGGCGGGGCGAGTGCAGGCAGGACGGTACCTCGTCCAGTCCCCTTCCCACTTCTCCCACCATTCCCACTCCTCCCACTGTTCATACATCACAGGGCATGACCAGTCTGGTGGAGGCGTGGGTGGCCAAGGCCAACGTGAGGCAGAGGGCGGGCAGGGCGGGGCGAGTGCAGGCAGGACGGTACCTCGTCCAGTCCCCTTCCCACTTCTCCCACCATTCCCACTCCTCCCACTGTTCATACATCACAGGGCATGACCAGTCTGGTGGAGGCGTGGGTGGCCAAGGCCAACGTGAGGCAGAGGGCGGGCAGGGCGGGGCGAGTGCAGGCAGGACGGTACCTCGTCCAGTCCCCTTCCCACTTCTCCCACCATTCCCACTCCTCCCACTGTTCATACATCACAGGGCATGACCAGTCTGGTGGAGGCGTGGGTGGCCAAGGCCAACGTGAGGCAGAGGGCGGGCAGGGCGGGGCGAGTGCAGGCAGGACGGTACCTCGTCCAGTCCCCTTCCCACTTCTCCCACCATTCCCACTCCTCCCACTGTTCATACATCACAGGGCATGACCAGTCTGGTGGAGGCGTGGGTGGCCAAGGCCAACGTGAGGCAGAGGGCGGGCAGGGCGGGGCGAGTGCAGGCAGGACGGTACCTCGTCCAGTCCCCTTCCCACTTCTCCCACCATTCCCACTCCTCCCACTGTTCATACATCACAGGGCATGACCAGTCTGGTGGAGGCGTGGGTGGCCAAGGCCAACGTGAGGCAGAGGGCGGGCAGGGCGGGGCGAGTGCAGGCAGGACGGTACCTCGTCCAGTCCCCTTCCCACTTCTCCCACCATTCCCACTCCTCCCACTGTTCATACATCACAGGGCATGACCAGTCTGGTGGAGGCGTGGGTGGCCAAGGCCAACGTGAGGCAGAGGGCGGGCAGGGCGGGGCGAGTGCAGGCAGGACGGTACCTCGTCCAGTCCCCTTCCCACTTCTCCCACCATTCCCACTCCTCCCACTGTTCATACATCACAGGGCATGACCAGTCTGGTGGAGGCGTGGGTGGCCAAGGCCAACGTGAGGCAGAGGGCGGGCAGGGCGGGGCGAGTGCAGGCAGGACGGTACCTCGTCCAGTCCCCTTCCCACTTCTCCCACCATTCCCACTCCTCCCACTGTTCATACATCACAGGGCATGACCAGTCTGGTGGAGGCGTGGGTGGCCAAGGCCAACGTGAGGCAGAGGGCGGGCAGGGCGGGGCGAGTGCAGGCAGGACGGTACCTCGTCCAGTCCCCTTCCCACTTCTCCCACCATTCCCACTCCTCCCACTGTTCATACATCACAGGGCATGACCAGTCTGGTGGAGGCGTGGGTGGCCAAGGCCAACGTGAGGCAGAGGGCGGGCAGGGCGGGGCGAGTGCAGGCAGGACGGTACCTCGTCCAGTCCCCTTCCCACTTCTCCCACCATTCCCACTCCTCCCACTGTTCATACATCACAGGGCATGACCAGTCTGGTGGAGGCGTGGGTGGCCAAGGCCAACGTGAGGCAGAGGGCGGGCAGGGCGGGGCGAGTGCAGGCAGGACGGTACCTCGTCCAGTCCCCTTCCCACTTCTCCCACCATTCCCACTCCTCCCACTGTTCATACATCACAGGGCATGACCAGTCTGGTGGAGGCGTGGGTGGCCAAGGCCAACGTGAGGCAGAGGGCGGGCAGGGCGGGGCGAGTGCAGGCAGGACGGTACCTCGTCCAGTCCCCTTCCCACTTCTCCCACCATTCCCACTCCTCCCACTGTTCATACATCACAGGGCATGACCAGTCTGGTGGAGGCGTGGGTGGCCAAGGCCAACGTGAGGCAGAGGGCGGGCAGGGCGGGGCGAGTGCAGGCAGGACGGTACCTCGTCCAGTCCCCTTCCCACTTCTCCCACCATTCCCACTCCTCCCACTGTTCATACATCACAGGGCATGACCAGTCTGGTGGAGGCGTGGGTGGCCAAGGCCAACGTGAGGCAGAGGGCGGGCAGGGCGGGGCGAGTGCAGGCAGGACGGTACCTCGTCCAGTCCCCTTCCCACTTCTCCCACCATTCCCACTCCTCCCACTGTTCATACATCACAGGGCATGACCAGTCTGGTGGAGGCGTGGGTGGCCAAGGCCAACGTGAGGCAGAGGGCGGGCAGGGCGGGGCGAGTGCAGGCAGGACGGTACCTCGTCCAGTCCCCTTCCCACTTCTCCCACCATTCCCACTCCTCCCACTGTTCATACATCACAGGGCATGACCAGTCTGGTGGAGGCGTGGGTGGCCAAGGCCAACGTGAGGCAGAGGGCGGGCAGGGCGGGGCGAGTGCAGGCAGGACGGTACCTCGTCCAGTCCCCTTCCCACTTCTCCCACCATTCCCACTCCTCCCACTGTTCATACATCACAGGGCATGACCAGTCTGGTGGAGGCGTGGGTGGCCAAGGCCAACGTGAGGCAGAGGGCGGGCAGGGCGGGGCGAGTGCAGGCAGGACGGTACCTCGTCCAGTCCCCTTCCCACTTCTCCCACCATTCCCACTCCTCCCACTGTTCATACATCACAGGGCATGACCAGTCTGGTGGAGGCGTGGGTGGCCAAGGCCAACGTGAGGCAGAGGGCGGGCAGGGCGGGGCGAGTGCAGGCAGGACGGTACCTCGTCCAGTCCCCTTCCCACTTCTCCCACCATTCCCACTCCTCCCACTGTTCATACATCACAGGGCATGACCAGTCTGGTGGAGGCGTGGGTGGCCAAGGCCAACGTGAGGCAGAGGGCGGGCAGGGCGGGGCGAGTGCAGGCAGGACGGTACCTCGTCCAGTCCCCTTCCCACTTCTCCCACCATTCCCACTCCTCCCACTGTTCATACATCACAGGGCATGACCAGTCTGGTGGAGGCGTGGGTGGCCAAGGCCAACGTGAGGCAGAGGGCGGGCAGGGCGGGGCGAGTGCAGGCAGGACGGTACCTCGTCCAGTCCCCTTCCCACTTCTCCCACCATTCCCACTCCTCCCACTGTTCATACATCACAGGGCATGACCAGTCTGGTGGAGGCGTGGGTGGCCAAGGCCAACGTGAGGCAGAGGGCGGGCAGGGCGGGGCGAGTGCAGGCAGGACGGTACCTCGTCCAGTCCCCTTCCCACTTCTCCCACCATTCCCACTCCTCCCACTGTTCATACATCACAGGGCATGACCAGTCTGGTGGAGGCGTGGGTGGCCAAGGCCAACGTGAGGCAGAGGGCGGGCAGGGCGGGGCGAGTGCAGGCAGGACGGTACCTCGTCCAGTCCCCTTCCCACTTCTCCCACCATTCCCACTCCTCCCACTGTTCATACATCACAGGGCATGACCAGTCTGGTGGAGGCGTGGGTGGCCAAGGCCAACGTGAGGCAGAGGGCGGGCAGGGCGGGGCGAGTGCAGGCAGGACGGTACCTCGTCCAGTCCCCTTCCCACTTCTCCCACCATTCCCACTCCTCCCACTGTTCATACATCACAGGGCATGACCAGTCTGGTGGAGGCGTGGGTGGCCAAGGCCAACGTGAGGCAGAGGGCGGGCAGGGCGGGGCGAGTGCAGGCAGGACGGTACCTCGTCCAGTCCCCTTCCCACTTCTCCCACCATTCCCACTCCTCCCACTGTTCATACATCACAGGGCATGACCAGTCTGGTGGAGGCGTGGGTGGCCAAGGCCAACGTGAGGCAGAGGGCGGGCAGGGCGGGGCGAGTGCAGGCAGGACGGTACCTCGTCCAGTCCCCTTCCCACTTCTCCCACCATTCCCACTCCTCCCACTGTTCATACATCACAGGGCATGACCAGTCTGGTGGAGGCGTGGGTGGCCAAGGCCAACGTGAGGCAGAGGGCGGGCAGGGCGGGGCGAGTGCAGGCAGGACGGTACCTCGTCCAGTCCCCTTCCCACTTCTCCCACCATTCCCACTCCTCCCACTGTTCATACATCACAGGGCATGACCAGTCTGGTGGAGGCGTGGGTGGCCAAGGCCAACGTGAGGCAGAGGGCGGGCAGGGCGGGGCGAGTGCAGGCAGGACGGTACCTCGTCCAGTCCCCTTCCCACTTCTCCCACCATTCCCACTCCTCCCACTGTTCATACATCACAGGGCATGACCAGTCTGGTGGAGGCGTGGGTGGCCAAGGCCAACGTGAGGCAGAGGGCGGGCAGGGCGGGGCGAGTGCAGGCAGGACGGTACCTCGTCCAGTCCCCTTCCCACTTCTCCCACCATTCCCACTCCTCCCACTGTTCATACATCACAGGGCATGACCAGTCTGGTGGAGGCGTGGGTGGCCAAGGCCAACGTGAGGCAGAGGGCGGGCAGGGCGGGGCGAGTGCAGGCAGGACGGTACCTCGTCCAGTCCCCTTCCCACTTCTCCCACCATTCCCACTCCTCCCACTGTTCATACATCACAGGGCATGACCAGTCTGGTGGAGGCGTGGGTGGCCAAGGCCAACGTGAGGCAGAGGGCGGGCAGGGCGGGGCGAGTGCAGGCAGGACGGTACCTCGTCCAGTCCCCTTCCCACTTCTCCCACCATTCCCACTCCTCCCACTGTTCATACATCACAGGGCATGACCAGTCTGGTGGAGGCGTGGGTGGCCAAGGCCAACGTGAGGCAGAGGGCGGGCAGGGCGGGGCGAGTGCAGGCAGGACGGTACCTCGTCCAGTCCCCTTCCCACTTCTCCCACCATTCCCACTCCTCCCACTGTTCATACATCACAGGGCATGACCAGTCTGGTGGAGGCGTGGGTGGCCAAGGCCAACGTGAGGCAGAGGGCGGGCAGGGCGGGGCGAGTGCAGGCAGGACGGTACCTCGTCCAGTCCCCTTCCCACTTCTCCCACCATTCCCACTCCTCCCACTGTTCATACATCACAGGGCATGACCAGTCTGGTGGAGGCGTGGGTGGCCAAGGCCAACGTGAGGCAGAGGGCGGGCAGGGCGGGGCGAGTGCAGGCAGGACGGTACCTCGTCCAGTCCCCTTCCCACTTCTCCCACCATTCCCACTCCTCCCACTGTTCATACATCACAGGGCATGACCAGTCTGGTGGAGGCGTGGGTGGCCAAGGCCAACGTGAGGCAGAGGGCGGGCAGGGCGGGGCGAGTGCAGGCAGGACGGTACCTCGTCCAGTCCCCTTCCCACTTCTCCCACCATTCCCACTCCTCCCACTGTTCATACATCACAGGGCATGACCAGTCTGGTGGAGGCGTGGGTGGCCAAGGCCAACGTGAGGCAGAGGGCGGGCAGGGCGGGGCGAGTGCAGGCAGGACGGTACCTCGTCCAGTCCCCTTCCCACTTCTCCCACCATTCCCACTCCTCCCACTGTTCATACATCACAGGGCATGACCAGTCTGGTGGAGGCGTGGGTGGCCAAGGCCAACGTGAGGCAGAGGGCGGGCAGGGCGGGGCGAGTGCAGGCAGGACGGTACCTCGTCCAGTCCCCTTCCCACTTCTCCCACCATTCCCACTCCTCCCACTGTTCATACATCACAGGGCATGACCAGTCTGGTGGAGGCGTGGGTGGCCAAGGCCAACGTGAGGCAGAGGGCGGGCAGGGCGGGGCGAGTGCAGGCAGGACGGTACCTCGTCCAGTCCCCTTCCCACTTCTCCCACCATTCCCACTCCTCCCACTGTTCATACATCACAGGGCATGACCAGTCTGGTGGAGGCGTGGGTGGCCAAGGCCAACGTGAGGCAGAGGGCGGGCAGGGCGGGGCGAGTGCAGGCAGGACGGTACCTCGTCCAGTCCCCTTCCCACTTCTCCCACCATTCCCACTCCTCCCACTGTTCATACATCACAGGGCATGACCAGTCTGGTGGAGGCGTGGGTGGCCAAGGCCAACGTGAGGCAGAGGGCGGGCAGGGCGGGGCGAGTGCAGGCAGGACGGTACCTCGTCCAGTCCCCTTCCCACTTCTCCCACCATTCCCACTCCTCCCACTGTTCATACATCACAGGGCATGACCAGTCTGGTGGAGGCGTGGGTGGCCAAGGCCAACGTGAGGCAGAGGGCGGGCAGGGCGGGGCGAGTGCAGGCAGGACGGTACCTCGTCCAGTCCCCTTCCCACTTCTCCCACCATTCCCACTCCTCCCACTGTTCATACATCACAGGGCATGACCAGTCTGGTGGAGGCGTGGGTGGCCAAGGCCAACGTGAGGCAGAGGGCGGGCAGGGCGGGGCGAGTGCAGGCAGGACGGTACCTCGTCCAGTCCCCTTCCCACTTCTCCCACCATTCCCACTCCTCCCACTGTTCATACATCACAGGGCATGACCAGTCTGGTGGAGGCGTGGGTGGCCAAGGCCAACGTGAGGCAGAGGGCGGGCAGGGCGGGGCGAGTGCAGGCAGGACGGTACCTCGTCCAGTCCCCTTCCCACTTCTCCCACCATTCCCACTCCTCCCACTGTTCATACATCACAGGGCATGACCAGTCTGGTGGAGGCGTGGGTGGCCAAGGCCAACGTGAGGCAGAGGGCGGGCAGGGCGGGGCGAGTGCAGGCAGGACGGTACCTCGTCCAGTCCCCTTCCCACTTCTCCCACCATTCCCACTCCTCCCACTGTTCATACATCACAGGGCATGACCAGTCTGGTGGAGGCGTGGGTGGCCAAGGCCAACGTGAGGCAGAGGGCGGGCAGGGCGGGGCGAGTGCAGGCAGGACGGTACTTTGCCCTCTTCACCCGCCACCGCTTTGATGCCATCATGCGGCCCTTCCAGGTGGGTCAGAGGAAATTCCGCATGGGGCATCGGGCTTACCAGGGGGGTAGCCTTGCTGTCCCATGAATGGGAGGAGGGGAGATGCTGGTGGGGCAGAGAATGGAGACAGGAAAGGAAGTACTTCGTTCGCCCTCTTCACCTGCTCTCATGGGCAAGATTCAAAGATTCGAAGTTATCATGCGATGCATTCAAGCTGCTGGATGGGGCACGTTCCCATGCATCTGTCTGCTCATTCCTCTTAGCCTCCCCGCCTTTCTGCTTCCACCTCCCCCTCAACAGCAACCGGAGATTCAACAAGTGCCTCTGGTGGTGCTGTGCCTGCATATCAAGCTGTTGAGTCTCATCCCTTTGCTCTCACTGTTTCCCTTCTCCTTTCTCCTCCCCTCCCCTTTCCTCGCCCTCTCCCTCCCTTCCGCTCGCCCTTCCCCCCGACAGCAACCGGAGATCCAGCGAGTGCCTCTGGTGGAGCTGTGCCTGCAGATCAAGCTGCTGGACCTCGGCACACCAGCGCAGTTCCTCAGCAAGGTGAGGTCGCGCCTTCCTGTTTCAGGCAGAAAAGTAAGCAGACGACGCCTCAAAAACTCTGCCTGCAGATCAAGTTGCTGGACCTGAGCATGCCAGCACAGTTCCTCAGCAAGGTGAGTTCACGCCTGATTGTATCTGATGGATTCTTAGCCAAGAGTCGGTAGTTAGAACTTCTGGGATATGTTCCTGCAGGCAGATCAAGCTGGGGGACCTGGGGAGGCCAGCACAGTTTTCAGTAAGGTGAGACCTTTCAAAGATCAGCACAGTTTGGCACTGGGGGAGGTGGGGGGCGGTGGGCGAGAGGGAGGGGAGGAGAGAGTTTCGAGTCAGCTCACAGGTCCCATTCCCGCCATTGAGCCGCCTAAGGAGGGAGGAGTGTGATGAAGACTCTGAGGGAGGTTGGGGCGGTTGATGAGAGGGAGGAGCTCACAGCACTCTGCGTTCCTCTCCCTGACATGCCATCTTAAATGAGTTCTTCCATACCCAACACCACCCGTGTTTGCAGGCCATAGAGCCGCCCAAGGAGGAGGCGGTGAGGAGTGCGATGAAGACTCTGAGGGAGGTGGGGGCGGTGGACGAGCGGGAGGAGCTCACTGCTCTTGGTACACATCTGGCTGCTCTGCCTGTTGACGTTCGCATTGGCAAGGTGAGCTGGGTGACACAGTGATGTGACAGTCATGGGGTGTCTCAGCACGACTCTCACCATTTCTGCCTGCCTCACCTACCGCTCCCCACCCCTGTGACGGTTGCCTGTGACCGTGCTGCCACTCCACCTCACTCCACCCCGTCCCACTGCACCCCATCCCACCACGTTCCACCACATCCCACCGCACTCCACCGCACCCCACCCTGACAGATGATGATCTACGGGGCGGTCATGGGGTGTCTCAGCACGGCGCTCACCATCGCTGCCTGCCTCAGCTACCGCTCCCCATTCTCCTCCTCCTTCCACGATGTGAGTTCTATTGAGTGTTATCAAGTGAAGGTGAAGGTCCTTTCACTCCGCTCCACTCTACTCCACACCTCTCCACTCCTCTCCCATCCACTTAACCCCACTGCCCGCCCACCTGCTCTGCCATTCTCCTCCTCGCTGCCCTTCTCTCCCTTTCTCCTCCTTTCTGCTTTGCTTTTCTGCTTGTGTTTTGTCAGCGCAAAGCAGCCGCCAGGGCAAGGCAAGCACTTGTGGCCAAAGCTCGAGAGGCCAACCCCGATGCAAGCTCACAGGAAGCAGCAAGAGGCAGGCAGGGAGAGAAGGGGAGCTGGGATGATGGCGATAGTGAGGATGAGGAGGAGGATGAAGGGGGCTGGGAGTCAAAGGTAGAAACAGAGACTGCAGGGGGGAAGGGAGAGGGAGGAGCAGGTGCGAGTGGGAATGACTGGGCATGGAACATGGCACGGGGGCAGCAGTCCGACCATCTGGCTATGGCCTCAGCCTTCAACGGCTGGGTGCTGGCTCTTCAGGTGGGTGTGCTGGCTCTTCAGGTGGGTGTGCTGGCTCTTCAGGTGGGTGTGCTGGCTCTTCAGGTGGGTGTGCTGGCTCTTCAGGTGGGTGTGCTGGCTCTTCAGGTGGGTGTGCTGGCTCTTCAGGTGGGTGTGCTGGCTCTTCAGGTGGGTGTGCTGGCTCTTCAGGTGGGTGTGCTGGCTCTTCAGGTGGGTGTTCTGGCTCTTCAGGTGGGTGTGCTGGCTCTTCAGGTGGGTGTGCTGGCTCTCCATGTGGGTGGTGGTTCCTGAGTCGCCTCAAATTCGTCTCATTCCACGCGGACTTGAGGTGCCAAAACAAATAACAAACATGGCATGGGGGCAGCAATCCGACCATCCCGCTATGGCCTCAGCATTCAACGGCTGGGTGCTGGCTCTCCAGGAGGGTGGGCGGGGTGGGTGGAATTTGTGCGACACGGCACTTGGTGCTCAAGTTCCCAATCTAATGTTCAAGGCTTAATAGACACCGATTGACAGAGTCGAGCTGGCCAGCTCTGGTTCGCGTCACCTCTGGCTAAGTCAAGGGTGGGATTTGAGTCTTGGGCCGGAAGCACTGTTCCACTGCCACACGTCGCCTTACAGGGCGCAACCTCTGGGCGTGTTGTTTCTTTAAGGGATTCGGCTGTGCCTTGTGGAGAAAGGGTGACAGCCCAATTCCGTAGGGCAACAGCACCCCCAGTGGCTGTGCCTTGTGGGGCGACGTATAGCAGTGGAAAACACGAGACTCAAATCTCACACCTGACGTAGCCAGAGTTGATGTGAACCAGAGCCAGCCGGCTCAACTCTGTCGGTCAGTGTCCATTAAGTCTTGAACGTCAGATCGGGAACTTGAGCACCGTGTGCCGTGCCGCGCAGATTGTAGGTAGGTTTCCTGGTGGGTCTGCTGGGTCTCTAGGTGGGTGTGCCAGTTCTTCAGGTGGATCTGGTGGTCTTGATAAAAGGCGAATTCTTACATTCCAACCTGATCCAATGGAGTTTGTAACAGGGCATGAGAGAGAATGATGGGGCGTCGGAGTTTTGAGTCGACTTAAAACACGTTCTTATGTCCCGTTTGATGTTCCGTTTGTAACAGGGCGTGGGAGAGAATGAGAGAGCGTCAGAGAGTGTCAAAGGGCATCAGCATGGCAAGGAGATTGTTCTGCCACAAGCACTTATCCCTCACTAATTCTTCCCTCTCCTTCATTCGTCTATCGCTCCTCTTCTCCACCCCACTCTCTCCCATGTGTGTGGCCAATGGGGCAACAGAGGGGCAGCAGGGCAGCAAGGGAGTTCTGTCAAAAACATCACCTCAGCATTCCTGCTCTGCTCATGCTGCGGTGTGTGCTCTTGGCTCTAGACTGTGCTCTTGCAGCTGGACTGTCCCCTTGCATCCCGCATCCTTCCATAATTTCCGGCTGTTGATCGGCATACGAGTTGCCGTTTCTTCTCGTCCTTCTCTAAACTCCTCAAAACTACGCTCCTCTCTCCCCTTTCGGACCCACTCCCCGCTCGGACGCACTCCCAGGGACATGAGAGTGCAGTTTGCTCGACTGCTCATGGACATTGGCTTTCTACGGCAGCCCAGCAAGGCGCCTGCGAGCAGGGTAAGCTGGGCAGTTGATTTCACAGGCGAGACATGAGATGAAAGTGCAGTTTCTGTGTGCAGTTTGCTCGCCTTCTCATGGGGATCGGCTTTCTAAGGCATCCGAGCAAGCCAATGCCTTTCACCCATCTCCCCATGCCTGTCACATTTTCCGTTTTGCCTTTTCTCCCTAACGCCAAGTGCAGGGTTTTGATTGGCTGGATGAGTCCACCCAGCTCTGGAACCGATGCTCTATGAGTGCGCCTGCTGTGAAGGTGAGTGGCATCAATCAAGGGGGTACAACAAGCAATCAATTGTTGAAATGAGGAGAGTAGAGGCAAGTTGGTCTCTTCCGTACCTCCCATTTCTCACTGCTGTTGCGTCTTCCTGTCCTCTCCGCGCCTTCTCTTGCGTCAACCTGTGTGCTGTGCTTGTCATCCATCCCGTTGGGCCTATGATGGCAAGTATGGCAGTAATGGCAATGTGAACTTGATGGAATTGATGGCTTGCACGTGACTATAATGAAAATCCCATTAGCACTCCCTGATTGTCATTCATAGTCACCCTTTCCTCCTCCTTTCGCCACCCACCCCTCTACCTTCTCCATCCCCCCCCCCCCCCCTTACCCACTCCATCCCAAATCCCCAGGCTGTTCTCTGTGCTGGCCTCTACCCCAACGTTGCAATGATGGCACGTGACTCTATCGAAGCTGCGCACTGTTCACACGCGTCAGACCTCGCACACGTGGCAGGGGCGTCCGGGCGGCCGCGGTGGGTCACTTCGACAGGGGCTGAGGTGGCGATCCACCCGTCTTCGGTCAATGAGGCTGTCTCGGTGTTCCGCGCTCCCTTCCTTGTCTTCCATGAAAAGGTAATGGCATATTACGTAAGTACAGTGAAAATGATAAATTCTTATTCTTGTTATTATTCCAACTATCCGACAAGTTTCACCATCGTTTTTAATGTGCTTGCAGGTCAAGACATCTCGAGTGTATATCCGCGACTGCACTGTTGTTTCTCCAGCAGCCATTCTTCTGTTTGGCGGACCAATCATGGTCCACCATCAGGTGATGTGCATTCTCCACACCGCACCCACTGATGTTGACTCAACCCTTATTGTACCAACCAATTGTGACATTTGATAAGGTGATATTTTCCACTTAGAGATATCACCATCTCATGGTTATGCCGATTTTCTCTCCCTAATTTTCTGTTTGAGCTCGAGCCAGAGAGCGCGAGTGTCAGTGGATGGTTGGTTGGACCTCGTTGCTCCGGCTCAGACTGCTGTTCTCTTCAAGGCCATCCGCGGGTCGTTTGACACTATCCTTCGTCGACATATCCTTCAATCTCAGGTGAGTGTGGCCGTATAACACCACAAGGGCGGGTTATCTTACTTACAATTTTTTCCCTTCTCTTGTATGAAGCGCTTTGACAATCGACACCGCATGATGGTTTTATATTCAGTGGCGCCATTTTGTTTCGTGTTGAACTTGTTGACAGAATGTTGAACAAGACGCAGATGATTCGAGCCAAGTGATATCTACCGTTGTAAAAATTCTTGCAGACGCTGAATACTTGCAAGGGTAGAAAGACTTGATTCGCATGTTGTATTCCACAAGGTTTTGCTTACTTGAAACGCATCAGCGTCAAATGTGGGTCGTGCCTCTTGGCGAAGGCAAGACTTTCAGTCAGCACCCAATTTTGACAGCTCTCCCTACTTCTTGGTCGTCACGGATTCACAAGCACAACTTCGGTTTCCGGCACTCAATCTCGGTTTCGCCGCTGAATGTCCTACCTGGTCGTCGTTCCCGCATTACAATGGAGTATGAAAGCGATGGTAATCCTTGTCTATGTGGGTCCCAGTTTAACAATTCATCGCGGCAATGTGGCCCTTGTCAGTGACGAAACGACCGCTCTTCGTCCTATTCCTGGCCGTCCTTTTGCTTGGCTCTACGACCAGTAGCGCTGCAATTCAGAAGTGTCACGCCCTCTCGCTCCGCCGGTTGAATGCCGATACAAATTGGAGGCAAAAACTATTACGCATTGCACTCTTGAAGACTGGAGTTGAGACGAGTCCCGATGGCAACAGCAGCGTGAGTGTAGGAGATGAGAAACATGGAGTCGCGTTTCTACTCGTCGACCCTAACATGAGCTCCATGACTATGTTTATCTCCGACCTGCTTTCTAAAGTGTAAGTGGTTGGCCCAATATATTCTACGAGATGCCATGCAATCTTGATTTCTCATCATCTGCTTTTTTTTTACCTCCAGCGTTCCAGGTCGCGCTGTTATTCAGGGTGACGAAGGCGAATCGATTGCATCTTTCCTTATAAACAACACTTTCGTGGCGTCAAATCCAACGGGCCTTGCATTTGCTGGAGTCGTTCCTCTAAGCATTGCGAGCATTGAAGCTCTTCAAGCCAATCCGACAAGTAAACACTTTGCCTGTTTGTGCAATTCAGTTCCACAGGGAGGACCACTAACATTCGCCGATTCTGCACTTGCAGGATATATCGTTCGTCTGGAGACAGGTCAAAAGGATGACTTCGCAGGTGGAATCATGCTACCTTCACAAGCTGCACAGCTTCTACCATCCATACTACTCCCAGACGCATTGCTCTTGGCGGACCCAAGCCTCTACTCGTCCCTTGCTATATCTTTCAACTTCTATGCACGAGGGGAGGTGAACGTAACAGTGGGCCACGACCCAGAAGATCCCAGGCAGAGACCTGTGTTGTCAAACATCACATCATTTGACTTCGCCTCCTCATTCCGGGCCATTACAAGTGCATTACCAGTGGCATTTCAAGCTATGGTTGCTGGTGATGAAGGCAGTGATGCTGAGATTTCTACCACACTGACAAGTTTCCTCACTTCCGTGATTCCAGCCCTACCTGCATTGACTAAAGCACTACCCAGTGTTAAGAATGGACAATTTCTACAGGCTGGATCAGCTGCTCTGATGGCCACCATGATTGCTTACAGTGGCTTTCTGCCTCCCTTGAACAGCCCACGCATTCTTTCCGCTCTATCAGCTTCTTTAGAGTCTGCATTGCTAGTAAACCGCGACCAATCATGAGCATGGATGTGCAATAGTGCGCTGCGCTCTGTTATTCTAAAGTGGAAAGCTGTGGATCTTTCAGACAATACATCAAGAAAGCAATATACTAGCACAGGCAAAAATAAGTGGCCGTCCTGGCATTAACAGTTTGACCATACTGATTCCATGGAAAGGCATCTAGCTCCAGTTGAAGAACTCTGGTCCAGCAGAAGAGAGCAACTCCTTGCCAGCATCAATGCCCATCTCCATCATTTCATTGTAGCTGTAAGATCCCGACCTCGATGTCTCAAGGACTAAATGGGCAAAAATCGGGAAGGACAGAAGGCAAAAACATTTGTTTAGTGCAACCGTCCTTAACGAATGCCCACCAAAGGAGGATGTATGAGTGGGGGAGGAGCAGTGACAGGTCATAAGGCAATGAATGAATTGAGTGGCTGGAATGCAAAGAATGCAAAGAGTTTGCAGTGTGTGAGAACAAGAGAGACATACTGGAGGTGGGGAGGGAGAAGAAGTAAAAAACCAGGGAGAAATTGAAGCAGTCGAACAAGGCAAGAGTAAGAAGTGCTCACTTCTCTTGCCGTCGGGCGAGGCGACAAGACCCCGGAAGGAGCAGCCGCCGTTGGCATCGCGCTGCGCCAGACCAGCAATGGGCGTGCGGCATGAGCCATCCAGCGTGGTAAGGAAGGCACGCTCACAGCACACAGCCAAGCGCGTGTCCTCGTGGTTCAGGGTAGCCAGGTATTCCTCCTGCCAGAAAGGAGATTTACAACATTCCTGTGTTAACCTATGGCCAGGAAACGTCTAGCCACCAACTAATACACTCCGTTCTCTACTCCATTTTCTCCGTCAAGCTAGCCTTGGAATCATTTGTTCATTTCCTACGCCAGGCGCTACCCCATCCAACATAGACAGGATCCCCCATGCTTAGCGAATCAATGCGAGGACATACCATTTTGGTGTCGCCAGTACGGCAGGCGATGCCAATGGCGCCCTGAGCGATGGCTGGAAGCATGTCTTCTGTCGAAAGGATAGCGGTCACGTGCTCGGTCATGTTCAACCTCTTCAGACCAGCCAGGGCCAGCAGAGTAGCTTGCACAGCCCCTTCGTTCAGCTTCCGCAGACGGGTTTGCACGTTACCGCGGAAATTCACCACCTGCAGGGAGATAGATAGAAAACGGATTCACGAGCTCATTTTCTCTATTACTTGACCTGTTACTCTAAAAGGCTGGACTACAATCACACCAGGCAGATTGCACTATATCTATACGTGGAGGAGAATCAAATCAGCAGAAGCTACGTACCTTCATGCTGGGGTAGCGGTGGAGGATTTGCGACTGCCGGCGGAGGGATGCACTGCCAATGACGCTGCCAGCAGGAAGCTCAGCCAGGGACTTGGCGGTGAGCGAGATGAACGCATCTCGCACATCCTCACGAGGAAGATTGCAAGGGAGGATAGTCCCCTCCGGAAGGTATGTTGGCACATCCTTCATGGAGTGCACGGCAATGTCGACGGCTCCGCCCAGAAGAGCATCATCAACCTCCTTGGTGAACAGACCCTTGCCACCAATGTCGGCGAGAGGCTGGTTCAGGATCTTATCGCCGGTGGTCTTGATGATCACGATTTCCACAGCACCCTCCTCGGCCAGCTCGGGGTAAGCAGCCTTGAGCTTGTCACGGGTCTGGTACGCCTGTGCAAGGGCCAGAGGACTGGCAAGGGAGAAGGCAAAATAACATACTCAGCCCTTGGGGCGAAAACTGCTCACTGCATTCTAACGAAGTTAATGCAAATGGTTATGATCGAGAGAAAGGCATCGAGGGGAGAGGCGGGTAGATACGCCATTCAACAAGTCTGTATGAAGGTCGGTTAATAGAGTGTGTACAAATCGCTGGCATTTACTAATTCACACCTGCCACGAGTTCCAATCCTGACGATGGCTGTCTTCACATCTGTCGAAGCGACGGCCATGACGACGCTAGACCGTTGAGCCTTCTTAGGGGCGACAGCTGCGACATTTTGCGACATCGTGGTCTTCCTCAAGCCCTCGAATTCGGCGGATCGCACAGAGCCCAGGAACGTGGCCTGAGTCTTGACCAATGAGGTGGCCATAGCTTCTAATTTCAGAATGAATTACAAGTATCGGAGTTTCTAGTGGCCACCGATGCTGGCGATCCTTGCAGAACTAGAGCTTCAAAGCTCTACAGCTGAGATGAAATTGCTCTGAAATGGTAGTCAAGGAGCAAGGAGCAACAGAATCCTGGAAAAGGGTTCTGGTGCAACTGATAAAACTCCAGCAGGCAAAAGAGCACAAATGTTCTTAGCGGGTATGGAGCGCCTACTTTGGTGTGTGGGATGGCAATCCGCCTCAGAGAATTGCGCGAATTGCGTGGCGCTGTGGTTGGGTGAGGTGGGGCTCAGAGCGCGCGTTGGCGAACACCTAGGTGTCCAGCTGGCGACTGCTGGTTGCCCAAGGCATTTCAAGGTTTCCACGCTATCCGGGGCCCTATCCGCTGACCAGTTGCGTTGTTGAAGGATGTGTGAGATGGGAATGTCGCTACAGAGAATACTCTCAACAACTTTGTAATCTAGTTTCATGTAGTTCTTCCACCTAAAACATTATTCCGACACACGCTTTATTCCTGATATATATTGTACTCTTGTTTTACCCCTGAGAATGACGCCTGGAAATGTGTTGCTGAGATTGCCACGTCGGACAACCCACTCCACCACCACCATGCCTTTTTTGTTGCAATACTCCCGCGAAGGGGGATCTCCCCTGACACACCCTCAGCCTAGGGGAGTGTTTGAGCATTGATACCCTAAGCGAAGAAGGGTTACCACATACCACAACATTTGCAGCTCGCCTTAGTCCCAGCGCTGCCATAGAGCCAATCATCACCCGTCTTTCAGATCCTTAGTACGGTGTTTGCTAAGAAAGTTAGAACCTTGTGGTGCCTACCAGCATCGTAGCCATGGCGTCTTGCACATCGCTACTCGCCAGCACCGGCGTTTCCTCGCTTGCACTGATCCAGGATGCCAAATGCACCTTTCGACGCAACACCGTGGCTCTCACAACACGGCCGTCTGGTTTCCGTCAGAAGTCGACGGCGTCCAGGCTGCAAATCGTCGCCATGGCTGGCAATGCTGGGGGTGTTGAGCCGGACCTGAGCGAGGAGTCACGGGCGGCATGGCTAACTGCTGGCGAGGAGAGTCAGCAGGTGCGCTCCTTAGTATCTTGGGAGTAGTTTACTGCGAAGCAGGAATTAGGATTACCTATGTCTGGTCGAACGGCAGCCGAACAAAGTCGTGACGTTAGATGCAGCCTACAACAAAACCTACAAGTAACTTGACGAATTTTCTTTCGGGCGTGTAAGATTAGTATCCATGTTCCGGTTCATGGTTCTAATAATGCGGCGCTGCTCATTAGTGCGGAACTGCAGCTTTTAAAGCCGACTTTACGTTTTTTCTCAGTACAGCGCCGATCTGTAACCGAAACCCGCATTTACACCCCCTTTTTCTAATGCCATTTGGTCTCGTCAACTGCTGACTATCGTTTCTTTATCCGACGTGCAGGATAACAGCTTCAAGTACGGCAAGGTGGATGGTGCTCATTCTTACCACGAGGGCGATGATGGTACGTTGATGCTAACAAGTGCACAGTCAAAGCCGCACCATGCAGTGCTGTGGACAGCAAAGGTCACAGTTTTTTTAATGCAGAACTCAGCACCTTTTTTCTGCCTGCAGTGTCGTTTCTACAAGTTTCTCTGGTTCTGGTTAAGACGTTCTCATCTTCCTTGCGTCTTCTCTGATTTCTTTCTTGGGTACCCCCTTCGCTGATTAGCAACCCTCTCCAATGTTCGGTTCCCTTTGTTTCCTCGTTCTACTTTTTACCTTACAACAAAACGCCACCCCGCCGTTTGTTTCTATCCGATGATTTTTCTATGCGCTCGATATCTTTCAGGCGAGTTCTGGAGTAACGTCGACGCCTCCCTCAAGGAGGCCGGTGGCCCTATTTCAGTTGAACAAAGTGCGTCGGAAACGGGGGAAGGGAGAGGGAAGGGAGGGTTGGGTTGTGTAGGGGAGGGGAGAGGGGGGGGGGGAGGGGGGGAGGGGTTTGGGGAGGACGAATGAGGAGGGTGGGGAAGGGGATACAATGGATGGTGCATTTGCGGATGGGGATGGAATTGAGGGCTCGGGATGGCGTATGACTTTTGAGATTATACAGGAATGCGATCAGAATGAGATGAAGCTGTTCATGCACTGACACAGGGCTTCGGACTCTGATAGTTGTCTTTGTGTTTCTTCAGGCTTCTAATTCTTCTGAGTTTTTTTATGACTTGCAGAGGGACTTGCATGGGCGTTTCTTCCAGCATTCTTCGCTGGTGTTGCATTTGGCCTCCCGGTAAGTATTCCCATAATCATGTGCACTTCAGTTCCACTTCTGTCCGATTTTACTTACTTTCTTATTCCACTTTCATCATTCCATTTCCTCCCTACTGCGCAGTCTGAATATTATATTGGCTTCACAGTTCTCTTCGTCTTTGCTTACTGTGGGATTGAGATGGGTAAGCCGTCAAAGCCTACACATTTCGAGCCTGACATGTACAAGATTAAGTGAGCTACGGTGCACTCTTGGAATACTGAAACTCATTATTACCATTGAATTGTATGTACGGTGTTACCATTTAGTTTAGCTTGAGGCAAAACTGAAGTACCTAGTTGCACAACAAGCTTCACTTTCAAAGTAAGGATGAACACATGACCTTTGTTGTACTGTATAGAAATGTCAGCATATACTAATTGTCACGACGAATAATGGCTAATTTGGGATGATCGTGTCCTCATAGTGGAGCTCTTAGTGGTGCGGATGAAATTTCTCCAAAATTCATTTGTGACACCACACGTCGTGCTTGCGGCCCACATCGTTTCGTTCCGACAGAGGTGGTCCACCGGCACCTGAAACCAGCCAATCGGCTATCACTCGTTTGTCTCGGTCGCCTTTTTTCTTCGTTACTTTTAGCGCAAACTCACTCCCTGTGCTGATAAACTTGAAATTAGCACCAAGGTTTGTGCAATGCTGGTATGTTTCCATCATTTTCCACCTGTGTTGCACGACTCATTTTTTGTAGAAGAGCAGTCATATAAATTATCTGCTCGGCGTTTCCCGACCTAGATAGACCTAGGCTAGTTGTAGGCTGCCGAATTCGATTTCTTCTGTGGGCTAGCTGTCTGCCGGTCACACCGCACTTGCCAGGGTCACGGGTTTTCCACGCCAGGTTTGACGTGGAACTAATGTTTTTTAAGGAGCAATATCAAAATAAATATATTTTGGCCAAATTTGCAGTGATTTAGGTGTTATGCATAAAAAACAGTGCCCTTTGTTGGGTTCCCGATTATTTTTCTTGTTCATCGTGTCATAGAAGGGCGCTTAACCTGTTTTCTCTTTTTGTGTCATGTCAGATCACCATCGCAGTGCACCACCAACATCCAGCCAGCTTGTCCCCTCGTCGGTTTATCATGACCGAGCTGGAAAGACCTCCGCGTAATCCACGAACCAATCAAATAGCGCAGGTGCACCACAGGCAGTTGGGCAGGAGAGATGGAGTGGGTGGGCAAATCCATAGTCGAAGCGCGTGAGAAAAACGCGGCGAGGCGACCAACCATGCTGAAAGCCGAGAACAGCTGGAAAGAGAGACTTCTCAGATTGGCTTGCGTTCCCCACAACCCACGAAACAGGCTCCCCCTTCCCCCACTCAATTCCCCCGCATTCCCCACAGCCGCAGTGCTCACTCCTTACCAGCTGTGCGCAACCCTCCCTCCGCCCCCCCACATTCCTCTCCCCCGCCTCCGTGTTTGTCGGACTCCCTTCCCTGTCACTCCACCCCACGGTTCCTCAATCCTCATGCGTGGGGCTGGCTCGACTATTCCGTGTCGCAAAATCACTCCAAATACTCGCGTCTGCTCACTCGCAACCCAAACTTGCCTAGCTTCTTCAAACCAGAGCAGGCAGCGGTGCTCTCTGACTTACAATCGTTCCTCTTCCTCATTCTCAGTGCACGCTTAGTTGATTAGTTGCGATCTCCGTGTCGTACCATACGGCGTCGATCGTTGTCCAGGACCTTCACACCCCGACCACATTCGCGTCATTCTCGTCCTTCACCTGCCTCCCATCCACTCAACTCCCCATCTACCCTCCACCGTCACAATGACTGCATCGTACTGCACATGTTCCGGGTGCTCTTACAATGCGAACGCGCCTGGAGAGCTTCCGACGCAGATTCTCGAGGTGAGTTTTCCCTCGATCCACCTTCGATGCCTATCTTTCGCCCCGTGAAACACACTCTTCCAATCCACTCTCACTTCTCGTCCAACAGAAGGTCCTTGCTTTTCCGACGCATCCTCATTTTCCGCCTTTCTCTTCCGCAGGCCAATGGCTTCCCCTCGGAGCTCCTCCCCGCGCACGAGGTCGCGCATTGCGACGGCGCGATCACAGGGCCTTTCTCGATCAACCTCAAGCGTCCGATCGACGCCGTGATTGACGGCTATAACGTGCACTACGATCAGCACATAAGCGGAGTGGTCGAGCACGGTTGGATTCGGCAAGTCACGAGTCACGGGAATTAAAGTCTTCTATATGATGGCGTGGGTCCCGGTAGACACCGCACAGGTCGGCGCGTCTTGCGGCAATCGGCTCTACTTTTACGTCGGACGCCTCGTTTACAAAAGCGTGCTGCTCTCCGCGTTTCCCGGGCTGTGGGAAGGCAATGGCGCGAAGAGCGAGAAGCAGGCTGAGAAGCAGCAGAAGCAGAAGCAGCTTATGCAGGTCGATACTTCGTCAGACGAAGAGGACGAAGGAGAGGAGGAAGAGCGATGGGAAGACGCGCCGACTGACGAAAGCGAGCAGGAATGTTCGGATATGAGCGATCAGGAAGCCGGGGAGCCGGAATTAGCGGCGGGTTTAGCGCTAGCAAAAGAGGCAGCGGCGGGAGCTTCTACGAGGAAAAGCTTCTTCCGGTTCAGAGCATGAAAACATGACAAATCGCCGGTACTAGTCGTCGCGTCGAACCCTTCGTTGAGGGTAAAACATGTGTAAGATACTTATAGAAATCCCACAGGCAGCTGCGACGTGCAGCTGATTCTGCTGCTACGTCAGCAGGCTCAGGAAGGGAAGCAGCAGCATGGCCGTTCCTTCTCGTCGACATGCACTAGCCGTTCGCGAACTTGAGTAACCACACACTGCTAGGGGGGGTCCTTTTTTTCGTCCTCTTTTCTGCGAAGCCCGTACTCGCAGCTCATTCTTCGCCTCCTCGTGACTTCCGCTGAGCCCATCACCGTCGCGTTTCACCCCGTCCTCTGCTCTAATCGGCTCTGCGCTTTTCTGCTCCACGCTGCCGATCCTCTTGCGTGAAGCTCGTGGGAGTTATTAGATATACCAAGACGCTCATGCAGAGATTGGAGGATGTAGATGGTTGGATTGGGTTAGTGATGGAGATATCAAAAGGAGACGAAGGCATGATCTGTGGGGTGATGGCACTCACGAGTCGTGGGCACTAAGCCTTTCCACTTGCAAACTGCCTCGGTATGGAGGAGGTCAGGTTTGTTACAATGGTTGGTTACCAGTAACTGTTGCTGTGCATTACTGTCCACCTTGTATCGTCGTGTGCTTGTGGGGCTAGATGCCCATGCCTCGTCAGTGCCAGGCTTCATTTATTTGTTCTTTCTGTGCACTCAGTTCAGATTCAGCCCTTTTTTTACTAGGTTCCCGTCCTAAGCAAGCAATTCCATTGTCAACTTAGAAAACGGCTAGTCTCTGTTGACTCAGGACTAGGCATACAGTACATTCATTTTCCTTACTTCGCGCCCCTGCTTATCGCGTACACGACGGTTCCCGCCAAAGGCATCAGTGAAACGTTACCCGCTCGTGACACTCGCCTCGACCATTGCTCCCGCCACTACCTCGCGACCCAACCTAACGGATCGGTTGGTAACCTGCGCTCCGGTCCTCCGCCTCGCCATTTTCCCAACCTCGGCGCTAGGCCCGTCGCGCACCACATTCTCGCGCATGACCGTTACCACTCTAGGCTCTCGCTATATATTGTTCGCTCATTCCTTCGCTCATTGTACTTTTGCTTCGATAGTGCAATTCTCGCTCGCTCACTCAATTGCACTCGTAACACTTGGTATTCAGAGCCTACGATCTCTTCTCGGATCGCACCCACACCTTCGTTTCCCCACTATCTCAAATTTTTGGAGGGGGTAGACATCTCTCAGCGCCCAAGCACCGCCGCTCGAGTGCTCTCTCGAAAGCAGGCACGGCCACGACTCAGGCTCTCGCTGAGCTTGCCCAACACCCTCGCCATGGCCGAAATTAATCTTGCGAAATTGACGCAGGAGCGCCTCGACCAGCTCATGCGCCAACTCGAGGAATCGGCACTCGAAATCGCGACACTCACGGCGGAACGCGACTCCGCCCGACAGCAATCAACAGCGAATGCACCCGCCAATGCACCTGTGCAATCGGATGAGCCGATTGTCATCTCGTCCGGCACACCTTCACATCACGACAGCGTGGGACAGCGCTCAGGCGCAGCCAGTGATGGTGCCGCCCAATCGATGATGGTGGAACAGGCCGCACCAAGCGTGAATGCACCTCGCGAAGTCCGTCGTCACGTCGAATTTGCAGCGACGATCGGCACCGAGGACATTGGCGTACCAATGCCGCTCAAACCGCAGGGCCCGCCCTGTTTCGATCCGAGCCAACGCGGAGGTCCGACGGTTCAATCGTGGGTCTTCACGATGAACGTCTTCTTCGACGCTAATTACGTCACGTCGGACGCAGCGAAGATACGATAAGCTGTTTCGCTGCTGCGGGGCCCCGCCATGGAGTGGTGGCGAGTCATCGTGACGTCGCCACGCGCCTACGAGCCGCCGTCGCAAGAGGAAGGGCCAACGGGCCCAGCCGTCACCTGGAGTTCGTTCTGCGAAACCGCCCAGTAGAGCACGTGGGACGCGTGGTGCGCAGGGCTTCGGGCGCGCTTCGAGCCGATCGCGGCTTCTATTTCGGCGCGTCAGAGACTGCGCACTTAGCGACAGCTCGGGTCGGTCCAAGATTATACGAGCGGTTTTCTCGCACTGTGCGAGCAAGTCGGTTACATGCACGAGGCGGAGCGGGTGGACCGTTATGTCGGAGGGCTGAAGCCGGACATCTCGCACGAAATCATGTTACGCGGGCTATCTAATTTCAACGAAATCCTCGCGCTCGCTGAGAAAATCGACATTTTGCGCAGTCCGAGACCGGGGTCCTACTACGGACATCGTCCTCGAGGGCCGACCGAGCACGCCACCGTACATGCCATTGCGGCGAACGCAGCTGCTGCGCCATTCATGGTCGCTGCTTCGCTTGCAATAGGCAGGGCCATTGTAAGAGTGAGTGCCCAGAGGAGCTAAGCCGCCGCGGAGCAGAGCAGGGGAGGGAGTCTGGAAGGCAGGGAAACGCCAACAGTCAGTAGAGATCGGGCCCACTATTGACGAGACTCACTGCTCGCCCGACCCCACTGACCCTCACTGAGTCACAGTACTGATTCACGCAATCGATCGGGCTCGGCTGAATAAGGAGGGTACAGCGACGGTTGCCCGATACTGATTTACGGGAAAATACAGGGGGTAGCAGTGAAGATTTTTATAGACGGAGGAGCAAGCCACAGCTTAGTCAATACTGCAACTGCACGGAAGCTACAACTGACACATAGTCGCTGCGTATCGGAGATCGACGTACGCTTAGTTGACGGCACGCCTCTGGCCATACGAGAAAAGGTGGAAAGAGTAAAAGTTCGTTGCGGGGGGAACTTCGGGTTTACACAGGAAATGCTCGCGACGACGCTGGATGGGCACGACATTTTACTGGGACGTGATTGGCTGCGACGCTATAACCCGCGAATTGACTGGACGACAGGTAGCTGCATTGTGCGAAGTAGCGGTAACTGGGTTGAACTACCTCGTTGGCGGTCACCTTGTCAGAGGTCCACTGGAGATCCCCGATTGATCATAGGGAAGGGTTACAGGCTCGTTGTCCTGGGGGGTTATGGGCGCACTGACCCGCTACTTAACAAGCCATTTTATCCCAACGGTCTAGTGTCAGATTTATATGACATAGCTACTGTAGGCTATAGTGGGGTAGCACATATGGGGTACAGTTTTCTAGGGTTTGCTTTTGTACCCAACTTTCCTTTAGTCATTTCATTCCTCGTTTCTTCTCATGGTATCGAGCAGGTTCCCTAGTGGGAACACTTCCTAGGGCCCACCACGAATTTTTTTTTTCCTGCCCGGAGCGCGCTTCGCTCCTGCCCGAGTCGCGCCCTGTGTGCCCTCCCTACCGTCGCGCCCTCTCACGGCCCCTCACGGCCCCTTCGCGTCGCCCTTAGCGGCCCCTCTCACGGCCCCTTGCGCCGCCCTTACGGCCCCTCGTGCCACCCTTACGGCCCCTCGCGCCGCCCTTACGGCCCCTTACGGCCCCTCGCGCCGCCCGTCGGCCCCTCGCGCCGCCCTTAGCGGCCCCTTACGGCCCCTCGCGCCGTCCCTTACGGCCCCTCGCGCGGCCCCTTACGCCCCCTACGGCCCGTCGCCGCCCTCCGCGGCCCCTCGCGCCGCCCTATCACGGCCCGTCGCCGCCCTCCGCGGCCCCTCGCGCCGCCCTTCACGGCCCCTTCGCCGCCCTTCGCGGCCTCTCGCGGCCCTGTCGCCGCCCCCTCCGGCCCGCCGTCGCCGCCCCTGCCGCAGCAGCCGCCGCAGTCCCTACAGCAGCGGCCGCCGCCGTCCCTGCAGCAGCAGCCGCAGCCGTCGCCAGCAGCAGCGCACTCGTGACATCCCCCCCCCTCAGCAGCTCCGTGAGTGGTACGCTGCACGCCAGCGGGGTGGGGGTACTGGTCCGTGCACCTACGTCCTACGCACCGGAGACCGCGCGGGTGAGCAGTGCTGGGGTGCGCACTCC